TCCACACTGCCTCTTCTGAATAATAACAGGGACTTCTCAGCCTCATTCTTCCTCACCCCCAGAGAACAGAGCCAATGGTTCTAACTCCATATTAGCAAGAAGTCAGCTCGTGACACCAGAAGTGTTTTCACGCACTGACTCTTCCACCCTTGCCTTTAAGAAGCCCCCCTGCCCCTGGCTTCAGCCCAGGAGTCTGACACCACACCTGCATGGTTGGGATGCCTGTATTTTTAGAGACAAGTTATTCAGTATGTTCTGTTCTTTCTTGAGGAGAAAGCAAAAAACTAAAGGGCCAAGGCTGCACCAGGGGGAATGAAAGGTATACTTAAGGGCTGAATTATTTAGGGCATTTTACCTGGCTGCCATAGGGATGGGGGTTGGGAGGGGAGAGCAGGAACTGCAGCCCAAATCTCTGGCTCCCACAGGCTCTGTTTGAAAGTCTCAAGGGCTGAGGGATTGATATCCCAGCACTCATAACCTATTTGTGGCATATCAGTCGGGGAATATTAATAAGGGGTCAAGTCCAAAGCAAAGGCTAAGAGGCTGGGAAACCAAATAATGCCTAGGAACTACACACATAATTGAGGTTGAACTTTGGCCTTGGGGCAGAAACTGTTGTTGATTTTGTCAGAAGGTGAGCAGAACCCTGTTGTGATATTTGTCCCAATTGTGGCAAAAACAAACATCAATGTAGTGCTTTAATAATACCGTAGTTGATATTCTTCGGCCATATTCCTTTTCAAGACTGTGCCAGGAGGTAGGATAAACCAAATGGGATTGAACATCGAACATGATTTCTAGCATAGGTCTTGTGCCAGGTATTTGATGAAGGTCAAGGATTGAATATTAGGATTGTTGGGGATTGGTGTCATCTGTAAGTTATTAATTCACTAACTACTCATGGAGCACTTACTTGGTGCCAGGCACTAAGAGAAAGAGGTGAAAGACATTTTCTGCACGTAAGCAGGTGAGAAAGGCAAACACGCAACAAGTACCATGGTAGGGTCAGCACTGCTCACTCTGGGCGCCCAGAAGATGTTACCTAAGCCAGCGTTAGGAGGAAAGTGGGTAAGCAGATATGAGGGTGGACTTCCTGGAGGAAGTGATGCCTGGGCTGGGTCTTCAAAGGTTAGTAAGAGAGCTGGTCGAGTAGAAAAGTAGGGGAGAAGCACAGAGGCAAGATTCAGTGCAATGAGTATCTGGGAGTGTAAACAATTTATTTCACAGGCTGTTTGTAAGGCAGTGGTGTGAGTTGAAGCTGCAAGAAAATAACAGGTGTCAGGTGAAGCAGGGCCTTGCATGCCACGCTGAGGTATTTGACCCAAAGGCAGTGAGAAGCTACTGAACAGCTCTAAAGAGAAGAGATGCATGACAGGGTCTGCATTTTAGAAGCTCTTCCTGGTAGTGATGGGGAGGAGGACTGGGAAGTGGATAGAGGAGGAGCCCAGCTTTTCATGCTGACCCCATTATCCTCCCATGTGCCTTATTGTACCTTTCTCTCTATAAAATTTCTTATGTATCCCTTCCCTTCCTTAACCAATGGATATATTACCACTCTCCAGTTTTAGTCAGATTGACTTAATGTATCTAAACGTGCCATGCTTATTCCCATCTCTGAGCCTTTTTGTTCATCAAATATGTAGTAAGTGCCTACTGTGTACCAGCCACAGTGCCTGACAGAGAGCCAAAGGCGAAGGAGACATGGAACTTACCTTTCAGGAGCACACAGGCCAATAGGAAGAGATGCCCATGGGAGCACAGTGTGACTGTGAGCATCATAGGCAAGCATCAAGGTAGTGCTTTGATAATACTCTAGGACAGGGGTGGGCAAACTTTTTGACTCAAGGGCCACAATGGGTTCTTAAACTGGAGCGGAGGGCCGGAACAAAAGCATGGATGGAGTGTTTGTGTGAACTAATATAAATTCAAAGTAAACATCATTACATAAAAGGGTACAGTCTATTTTTTTTTTTTTTTAGTTTTATTCTTTTCAAATGGGCCGGATGCGGCCCGCGGGCCGTAGTTTGCCCACGGCTGCTCTAGGATCATCTGTTTTCCATGAGTTCTCCAGGTGGAGCCAAAGGGTTTTTCAAAGGGCTGCAGTATGGGATAAGCTGAGTACTGTGGGCAAAACGAGAGAGAGAGAGAGAGAAAGAGAGAGAGAGAAAAAGAAAAGAGAGTCCTATGTCTGAAAAGCCCTCCCCCTGCTCTGCTAAACCCAGCCCACCCTCAGGCTCTGCCTTCCCTCTGTAGAGAGCCAGAGTGGTGTTTCTATATACTATACACAGTCATACTCCTCTACTCAAAACACTCAGTGGCTTCCCACAGCTTTGGAGTAAAACACCTTAGTATGGTGTTCCAGGCCTTTCTTTACCTGATAAGGTAGTGTAATGGTTTGGACCTTGGGCCCTGAAGCTAGACAATAAGATTTTAATCTTTGTTCTACCACTTTCAAGACATATGACCTTGGCCAGAAATTCTTGGTGCCTTGGTTTCTTCATCTGTAAAATGGGGCTGGTGGTAGCTGTGTCAACTTCATAAGGTTATTGCAAACATAGATGAATTAATATGTATTAAAGCTTTAGACTGTTCGGTGAGATGTGAAAACACCTTAATTAATCCTTATCAGTTATTATTGTCAATTTTTATTCATTTTCTTCTTAGCACCCATGGCATGTCTTGAAGCCCTAATTAATCTATTATTGTGTTGCATGCCCTGTTTTTTGTGCTGTCACATTATATTCAAGAATAATTTTGTTCTCCTTTGGGGCAGCATACATTGCACATGTGCCTGTACTCCTCAGACACCCACAGTGTTGGGAGGGGGGATGTTAGGGTGACAAGCCATTCCAGTAGTCCCAGGCTTGAAGGCTTTCCAGGATGCTAAAATCGGGAAAGTCCTGGGCAAACCGGGGCTAAGTTGTCCACCTTATAAGCAGAGGGCACTTCAGTTCTGCCTGTTATTTATGTCTTTTGGTCCCAAACTTGAAAGAAGGCTTGCTTTGGCTTTGCTGCAAATTTTTACTTATTGGCTAGAAAATACAAAGTTGCACCCTCTGGGTTTCTTTGGGGTTTCCTGAGATTCCCCTGAGGAGCTTCTGAAAAAACTCTCTTCCAACTGCTCTGGGTATATTTCCTAGAATTGTGGAAAACTTCATAAGAGCCTTCCTTAGCTGGCCACAGCCTCCGAGACCCCCTCCTGCCTACCATTTCCTATCTCTTTTGGTGTTTCCATCATGCCTCTGTACTCCCTTCATTTGCTTTCAGAATCAACATACCCTTGCTTAACTTAGTGACAGAGCCTCCTTCACACAAGGATCATCTGTTTTCCCACAAGTTCCCCTGGTGGATCCAGGTGTTTCTTCCTTTGCAGTCCCAGCTCCATGCCCACCTCTTGGGACCGTGTTTGCTTTTCAGACAGCATGTCTTAAGGATCCACTGAGGCCTCTCTTGGTATCCCTGAAAGCCATGGCAGTGTTTGCTGAAGGCCTGCCCATCTTCACCAATACAACCGAGGCTGGTTCGGCAGCCTCTGAAGGTTTCCACCCCAGCATACTAGCTTATTAGGGCTGCCCTAACGAAGTCCCACCAACTGGGTAGCTTCCATAACAGAAATGTATTGTCTTGCAGTTCTGGAAGCTAGGAATCTAAGATCAAGATGGTGAGAAGGTGGGTTCTTTGTGGGGGCAATGAGGGAGAATCTTGACTTCTGGTGGTTTCCTGGCAGCCTCCGCCATTCCCTGGCTTGTAGATACATCCCCAGATCTCTGCCTTCATCTGGCCATGGCGTTCTGCCTCTCTGTGTGTGTCTGACTCTTCTCATGGCATTCTTTTTGGAAGGACACCAGTCATATTGAATTAGGTACCCATCCTACTTCACTATGGCCTGATCTTAACTAATTACATCTGCAGTGACTCTTTCCAAATAAGGCCACATGCTGAGGTATGGAGGGTTGGAACTTGAACATGTGAGTTTAGAGGGGACACAGTTCAACCCTTAACACCCAGGTCTTTGGGTGAGTCCAAAAACTCTGTAGAGGCTGGAGGCCTCTTCTCCATGGGCACCGTAAAGCCTGTGCAGTCGCTGTCATAAATCCACTCCAGTTCTCCATTCATTTTGTGTTTATCCCTGACTGTTTCTGCGGCCAGGTTCACATCGTCACTAGTGACCACTTGTTCACCACTCTCTAGGACAGCGGTTCTCAACCTGTGGTTCGCAACCCCTTTGGCAGTCAAACTTTCACAGGGGTCACCTAAGACCATCCTGCATATCAGATATTTACATTATGATTCATAACAGTAGCAACATTACAATTATGAAGTAGCAACGAAAATAATTTTATGGTTGGGTCACAACATGAGGAACTGTATTTAAAGGGCCAGAAGGTTGAGAACCACTGCCCTAGGATGTTTTGTGACTGTAGGGATATTTAGAAATACAATGGACGCCTGATTCATTAGCTCTAAATTGGTGACTATCCCATCTTTTTAAAAGGGCAGCCTGCTAAGGAAAAGTTGTAGCCATGGCATATATGCAGTAACTATTACATCCTAACAAATAATAACTATAAATTGCTGACTTTTAGAGTGTTCTGGGGAATACCATGGTATGTACAGACAGGGGTTGGAGGAGTGTGTGTGTGTGTGTGTGTGTGAATGGGGGTGTGCATGCAGTAGCTTATAATAAACAAACATCACCAGACGCTGCCCCAACCTTCCTGCAAGCATTAAGCCCTGGGCACGGAGGGAATAGCCTGCATAGTCTCACTTGGGCTGTGGCTGCCTCATTCTGTCAGCTCCCTGAGTCCCTGACCCCTTCCCCTCCTAAGAGATAGCTCCATTTCAAAAGATAAACACTAGGAGTCACAAGGAACGCGAGGGAAAAGTCGAGCAAGTCTCCCAGTTATTTTTTTCCCTGGTGTTCGCACTAGAAACCCAGACGATCTTGGTGCATGAGGTATTTCCGACTCAGACAGTTACAGCCTGGGATGCGAGGGCAATGATGGATCTTCACAAGGGTCGGGGGTGGGCCAAGGAGCGGATGGGGAATGGGGACTCTAGCATGTCTCCTCGCTTCTTTCCAGGGCAGCCCTCCTCTGAGAAATCCCAGGGACCGAGGAGGCTCCTAGCTAGTGCCCGCTTATGTGCCAGGCTGCCAGGCAGGCTGCTAGCTTGGTGGGAGGCAGCAGGCAGGCTCCCCGCTCAGCTCCTCCGCGCCAGATCAGGGAGCTGTCGGCTCAGCGCCCACGCCTTGCGCTCCAGCTCTGGGCAGCCCCGGGTGGGCTGGGGGAAGGCGCAAAGCTCCCTTCGCGACTGCAAGTTGACTTTCTCTCGCTGTTGCTGCCGGCAGAATACATACACCAATGCAGACAAGCTCCTAGAAGCGGCGGAACAGCTGGCACAGACCGGGGAATGTGACCCCGAGGAGATCTACAAGGCGGCGCGGCACCTGGAGGTGCGCATTCAGGACTTCGTGCGCAGGGTGGAGCAGCGGAAGCTTCTGCTGGACATGTCTGTCTCTTTCCACACGCACACCAAAGAGGTAAGAGCCGGCGGAGCAGGGGCATCGCCTGGGTCGACTTGTTCTGGCAAGGGTCACGTCTGTTTCCCGGCATCATGACCCTCCAGCTGTGCCCAGGGTCCCGGTGGTCTGGAGTTCCCAGCCTCCTGATGTTGACGATATGAACACCTCGCTACTGATAACCTGTATGTAGCTCACAAACAGTATGAGGCAAAATTTCCTCCTCATCTCCAGCGAGGAGGGAGCCACAGAGACCAGTGGTTTCCAGAGTCTGCTGGAGCGGGAGATATTGGGGAATCCCTGGTATAGAAATAGTCACTATAGGGAGAAATATAAGAGGATGGAGCCTCCCTTTCCACCCCACACCCCGTTGCTCCTGGTGCTGTGCCTGTCAGAAATTAGAGTCCCGCAGAACTTGGATCATCTTTGCTGCCTGCAAGAAACAGAGTTTGCAAATGTGCTCAATGTTATTTTATTTTTTAAAAACAGAAGGTTAAATCTTTATAATGAGCTCTGCCACAGGGGAATGCTAAAGGAGTTGGTCCTCACCTTGCCTGAGGGTAGAGTGACAGCCAGTGAGGGAAGGAGACTGGGGGACCCTCCACACAGGAGGAAGTTAGCTAGGCTTACGTCTGGCCCAGTCTTGCAGGACATGGAGACAGGAGAGGGGAGGGTGGGCGATGCTATGTTGTCAGCAGGGCAGAGGGGCCCATAGAGAGGAGGGTTGCAAACCTGCGATTGCTTTACGTTTCTGACTAGCACAGGCACTCTGAAATTGAGTAAGTGGCCAGCGAGGAGGCACATTTAGCATCTTCTATAATAACACCCTTGGCAGAGAAATTCATTAGGTACATGCATGCTTGCGCTCCCCCAGGAATTCATTTTAATGGAGTATTAATTAAAGTTTGATTGCTGCTCAGGAGAAAAAAATTAACCCCACTTAATTAAGTTGATTTTTGAAATTTAGAATGCATTAGGAAGCCTGGTTATTACTACTTCACAGGCTTCCTGACACTCGGTGGGAATGAATGCAAATCGTTGCAGCGCCTATCGGAAAAAAAACATAAAAAGATGATGTTTTCTAAATGGAGATTCCCCAGGCAGATGCAGGGCTGGCGAGCTCCCTGACACCGACTCTGCTTCCTCTCCATGGGACCACAGCCGCTCTCTGACTAGTGTCTGTGAAGCAGGGGATTAGCTTTAATCCAGGTTTTCCTGCCTGGTTGTCTGCTTGCTGGTGGCTCACCCCATGCTTAATAATGGTCTCAGAAACCAAAGGCATGTGTATTCTCTTTTAATTATGAGCCTGCAGAAGATAGAATGGAGCATGAATGAACCAAAGTCATGCTCCCTACGAGGGCTGAGGGGGTGCTGTCTGTACAGGGAGGGGGTGGCCTAGGTCACTCTCCATGGAAAGGCCACTCCTGAAAGGGTGACCATGGCTTCCAGGAGCCCTTTCTAGCTGCATCTCCCACCTTCTATACATGGAGCCAGGAGGCTCAGATTCTAGGCCAGATTCTGCTGCTCCAGAGCCATGTGGGCTTGTGCAAATCACTACATCCCTGGCCCTGGGTAGCCTCGTCTATAAAATTATGCAGTTGGGCTCAAAGGCCCTAAAACTCCTTATGATTCCAGTGTGAATTCAAGATTCCTTCCTTTTCTTCCCTTCTTTTTTGTTACTTAGTATTGACAAGTACTAGTATGTTAGCTAGTACTTTTTTAAAAATTATATTTTATTGACTTTTTCAGAGAGGAAGGGAGAGGGATAGAGAGTTAGAAACATCGATGAGAGAGGAACATCGATCAGCTGCCTCCTGCACCTGCTACTGGGGATGTGCCCGCAACCGAGGTACATGCCCTTGCCTGGAATCGAACCCAGGACCTTTCAGTCTCCAGGCCGATGCACTATCCACTGAGCCAAACCAGTCAGGGCTAGCTAGTACCTTTTTTAATTGGGTACCCACTACTTGCCAGACACATATATCATTGCACGCAATCCTCATGGTAATCTTATGATACAGTTTTTTTTCTTTATTTGTTTTTTCCATTAACATGTATCCCCCCATACCTTCTTACACTTCCACCCACCCACGCCCTCCCCCACCATCAGCACACTATTGTCTGTGTCCATGAATTCTTACTCTTTTTTTTCTTTTTTGCTCAATCCCTCCATACCTCCCTCAATCTCCCCTCACACCCAAGTTATCTGCCTGCTCTCTATCTATGAGCTTGTATCTATTTTTCTTGTTAGTTCAGTTTGTTCATTAAATTCCACATGAGTGAAATCATATGGTCCTTGTCTTTCTCTGACTGGTTTATTTCACTTAGCATAATGTTCTCCGGGCCCATCCATGCAGTCACAAAGGGTAAGCTTTTCTTCCTTGTAACAGCCAAGTAGTATTCCATTGTGCAAATGTTTCACAGCATTTTTATCCACTCATCTACTGATGGGCACATGGGCTGCTTCCATATCTTGGCTTTGTAAATAACACTGCAATGAACATAGGGGTGTGTTTACTCTTTCGAATTAGTGTTTCAGGCTTCTTTGGATAAATTCCCAGAAGTGGAATTGCTGGGTCATAAGGCAGTTCCATTTTGAAGTTTTTGAGGAGCCTCCATATTGTTTTCCACAGTGGCTGCACCAGTCTGCATTCCCACCAGCAGTGCATGAGAGCTCCCTTTTCTCCCCATCCTCGACAACACTTGTTGTTTGTTGATTTATTGATGATAGCCATTCTGACAGGTGTGAGGTGATATCTCATTGTGGTTTTAATTGCATTTCTCTGATGATTAGTGATGTTGAGCATCTTTTCAGATGTCTGTTGACCATCTGTATGTTCTCTTTGGAGAAGTGTCAATTTAGGTCCTTTGCCCGTTTTTTAATTGGATTTTTTTTGTGTGTGTTGAGTTCTATAAGTTCTTTAAACTTATAAACTCCTTATTAGATGTGTCAGTGAATATGTTCTCCCGTGCGGTGGTTTCCCTTTTCATTTTGTTGATGGTTTCCTTTGCTGTGTGATATAGATTTTATTTTCAAGTGAGGGAACTCAGGCTAAGGAAGGAGCTTATGTAAGGTCACAGAGCTTGTCAGTAGTGCAGAGACTGTGCCTACCTTCCTACGTACTGTGCCCTTGATCTGAACTGCTACCCACACCCTGCTGTCCTCCTTTTTCCGCTTGTGTCTCCTCCTCTCCTCTGCTCTACTTCCTTCTTCCTACTCCTTTTTTTTTCTCTTTACATTTTCAAACCCCAAAGCAGGGGCTTGATGGGGAGGGTAGACCTTAGCTTAGAAATATAAAGTGTGGCCAGGGTTGCAGGTGTGGGAGATAGGAATAATCACTAACCATTGTTTTCCCACAATGTCTCTGAGACCTTGCTAAGCTAGGTCCTGTTTGAACCTGAGATGTGTTTTCACACTGAGACTCAGCTTATAACAGGGGTGGGGAACATCCGGGCTGTGAAATCATTTGGTCTGGCCCTGCCAAGGCATTAGGGCTGAGTTAATTAAATGTTTGACCAAATAGAGCGGGCTAATTTTTAAGTTGATAATTATGTATGGCCTGCAAATGGTGTTATAAATATCCAAATGGCCCTTGGTGGAAAATGGTTCCCCACCCCTGGCTTATAAAATCCATTCATATGAAATTGTACTGAAGGGAGCAGTGTAATACTGGGGGCAGGTGAAGAAAGAGGACAGGAACGAAAGTGTATTTAACACCTGCTGTGTGCTACATTATCTATCAAATCAATAGCCATGAGAATTATCATTTTTATTCCAATTTTACAGATCAGAGAAATTCATAATCTGTCCAGGGTTTTGTAGCTAGAATGTGGTAAATGTAGGAATTGACCCCAAATCTTTCCAACTCCAAGGCCCCTGCTTTTTCTCCTTTGCCACAGACCTTCAATAAAAGCCAGAGAACAGAGATGGGAGGCATTTTCTCTTGCAGGAGAACACAGGAGGCGGCAGGAAATAGCACAGTCTCTTTTCTCAGGATCCCAAAATACAAGAGAAATTAGGAGCAGTCCTGCCTTGATGCAGAAGAAGGGGAGTGATTTTAAGGATCCAATAACCAAGAGATCTGTAATTCAGGTCAACAAATTCTGACTTTTTTTCAGGATGGAAAAAAAAGCGGCATTTTCAGTAGCTGTCATGGAGTCCTAGAAGAGTATTTTTAGGGTTCA